CTAATGCATAACTATGTGTGAACGATATTAATTAATTACCAGTAGTATATATNTAGTTAACATTATCAAAGAATTATTGTGGTATTGCTTAGTAGACATGTGGTTTATTCTTAGGATATGTTATCTAATCTATAAGAATAAATATATGTGTGTATATATGTACAGTGTTTAGCATAAATGAGTAAACCCCATTTTGAAAATAATATTTTTTCCATTTCTCAGTGAATATAGATCATATATTTGGTGCATTTGAACAAAACATATTTAATAAGCAGATATGTTTATTAAAATAAAATTTAATTCACTGAAAATCTTTAGAAATAGAAAAATTTTAAATTTAAATTCATGCAAAATATAAAACAAAATTACAAACTGCAAAATTTCAACAATTATATTTATTTTTTGTTCTGTTTTGTTTTTAATAGTATTTCATACTTTCCCTAACATATAAATTTGACCTACTATTTTTTTGACATTATATTGTTAGATTAGCTCCAGATTTGGCTTTATACTGATTAGTCTAATGTATATGCACAAATAAAATATTTTAACACATCCTATAGAAAATATAAATTTAAATAAAAGATTTGTGAGGGGTGTACTTATTTATGTTGAGTACACACACACACACACACACACACACACACACACACACACACACACACACACACACACACACACACACACACACATATATATATATATATATATACATACATACATACATACATACATACATACATACATACATACATACATATATATATACATACATACATACATATATATATATATATATATATATATATATATATATATATATATATATATATATATATATATATATATATATATATATATATATATATATATATATATATATATATATATATATATATATATATATATATATATATATATATATATATATATATATATATATATATATGTGTGTGTGTGTGTGTGTGTGTGTGTGTGTGTGTGTGTGTGTGTGTTTTTGTTCATTAGAATATTTATTTACCAAGAATTTGTTAAGTGACAAGCCTTTTTTCAAATTAATGGTCAAATTCAAGTCAAAGAATCCTTAAAAAAAAAAAAATCTATATTAATAATAATAATAATAATAATATCAATATTGATATTAATAATCATCAATAATAATAATAATAATAATAATAATAATAATAATAATAATTAGGACTGCTCAATATTGGAAAAATTTGATACAGCCATATTTTATTTTTCTGTGCTAAATATATGCGATATGAATGTAGTTCCACAAGATAGTTTGAATAGTACTAATTGTCATTTTTCTGGGAAGTCTTAACAGTATTCAGAAACAGAAATTGAATAAATCACAATGCAAAAAAAGGCTTTTCTTCCCTAAAAAAGCTTTACACATAAAAATACAAAAATTATTTATTTTGCTATCACACATCGTTATTTGTAGGTGAACAATTAATCCGCACAAGTTAATCTATGAAAAAAAATGTTTTATAATCTTCAATCAAAGTTGGACGCCCCTCTTACCGTTAGTTGGTTAATGATGCCTAATAACAAAGCCCCGCATCCAAGTAAATATTCCAAATTGAATAATCACAATGCAAAAAAAAAAGGCTTTTCTTCTTTGCTTGGTCCAATTACTAAGTCAAAATATACAACCAAAAATTCTTAGATTAAGTAAAATTGTTTTGTTTTTTAACTTTTTCTTGCAAAATTAAAAAGTTTCCATTTAACAAGCAAAATTATCTGCCAGTGGGGCAAGTAAAATAATCTTGTTTTAGCTTTAAAATGTAGATATTTGCACTAGAAAGAAGACACAAATTATAAGAAACTTTTTTGCGTGAAGCATATAAATTCTGTATAAACACCGTAATTAAGTGCAATTCTGTAGCTCCTGGTCAGCTATAATCCAAACTCAACATTGCATTTCTTGCGATGTAACTATTGGAGATGTGCACATAACAATATCGATGCTGAAACAATAGATTGTGCAGCCTTAATAATAGTAATAATCATAACAACAACAACAACAATAATATTAATATATTCTGAAGCATCAAAGCAACATATTAGAATGATTTCAGTAATGATGCTGAAAGAAATTAAGATATATAGAGAGAGAAAACCTAAATATTTCCCAATATTGTTGTTAATAAATGTACTTCAGATTAGATCAATCCAGCCTTGGCAACACCAAGCCTTTGAATAGCATTGTGCAAAACAACAGAAAGAGGCTAATTTTAAAACTTAACAAACCAGTTCAAACAAGGAAACAGCCCATCTGTCAAACGTCACTTAAAATGTCAACCTTAAAAAGCTGAATCATTTTGCTTACAGAAAACAGACTCATCCAAAACTGAAACATAAACAGAATTAAATGATTTAAAATCACGACTGACAACCATGAATTCATTATCACATCTCCTTTATCTACTAAAATTTCTAAAGTCTGTGTGAAATCAAAATTCGCAATGTTTATTTTGCCATCACACGTTATTTTTAGGTGAACAAATAATCTGCGCAAGTTAATCCACTGAAAAAAAATGTCTGACACCCCTTCTACAATTACTTTGCTATGAGGGAATGATGCGCAAAAAGAAAAGCCCAGCCTCCTAATAAATTTTCCATTTGAGTTGGAAAAACATCAACATATACTGAAATATCACACAGACTTCAAGCAAAAATAATTACCTGCCTACCTACTTCTAGATAAAAGAGGTAGACGTGTATATCTTGTATAGTGCTAAATATTTAAGCAAAAAATCTGATTCATTACTGTACCCGTCTTTGCTAATCAAAATGAAGAAATTATTTACTTACACAGTACAATTTGACCTTAAATTTACAGTAAATGTCTGGCTAATAATTGCATTACATTCACAGTAAGGTACTGTGTGTAAATTCCAAGTACATTACTGTAGAAGTAATTCAAAAAATAATTCTGTAAATATTTATAAATGTCAAAAAGTGCCTGTCCTAGCATAAATGTTCGTGTGCATTAATTTCAATGTGGAATAAAACATTAATAGTGCTTAAATTCCTATAACTAACATGTAAAAGATAAGACCGTAATTTGATGTCTGCCTCAATTTCACAATTAAATTCTGAATAAGTCAAATTTAACAGTTAAATGCTGTGAAGTGACACTAATGTAATTTAGTGTGAAAAGTTACAGTAACATGTTGTGTAATTCTGGGAATTTACTAGTGTACCATTAGTTTGCTATGAGAGAATGATGCGCAAAAAGAACGACCCGCCTCCTATTAAATATTCCATTTGAGTTGGAAGTACATTAACATATACTGAAATAAGTCTCAGCAACTTCCAGATCGCACAGACATCAAGTAAAAAATAGCCTGCCTACTTCTAGCTTAAACGTGCCAGAAGTGTATATTGTATAGCTTTAAATGTTCATGCAAAAAATCTGACTGTCATCACTGCTTTTCACACGCCTTTGCTCATCAAAATGAAACAAAAATTCATTAAAATCAACACATTGCATTCTGAAAGTAACAGAAGCACACAGACAAATGCGCAACCCAAAGCAGCTCTCCAAACATACAATATTACTCATCTAGCACCAAAGACTATAGAATACTCAATAGTTTTGAATGGGGAAAAGTGTAACGATCAATTTGGCAAATGAAGCCCCGCCTTCTAGTACTGAGCCAATCTTTGATCGATATACTGACAATTCTCCGGAGGAAAGGCTCAGAACAGACGTGAGTTACTGCAGATTTTGAATGTTTAGAAATGAAACTAAAGAGACAGTTGTTGTTTAATTTTATAGGTGATTCCCATTACGAAATGTAATCATAAGATTGGCTAGGAGTTTTGGAGAATTTGAGGTTTCCCCATTCAAACAGAATGCCTGAGCATACTGGCGTTACAAAGATGGCCACCGAGTGAAATGACTTCCTGTAAACCAACGGACTCAAACTGAATACCTTGAGGGCCGCAGCTCTGCATAGCTTAGCTTCAAGCTGCTCCAACTCACACCTGCTTAATAGTCTCTAGTAGTCTTGAACACCTTGATTAGTTGGATCAACTGTGTTTGATTAGGGATGGAGCAAAAATGTGCAGAGCTGCGGCTCTCCAGGAATCAAGTTTGAGACCTATGCCGTAAAGGGACTTTGCTAGTACTCACATTCCCATGGTTCACAAAGCTATGCTTTCTAGCAATCCGGTCAGCTTCCTCCTCTCCCCCCTCAATATGGACGGCCCATGTGTTGGTGTAAACCTTCTGTCCAATGGATGGCTGTGGCCCAGAGGTCAGGAGAACCAGTAGTGTACCGAGCGTCAATGAGGCAAGCCTGAGATCCATCAGACACACTATAGGAGAACCAAGGCAGGAATTCCTAATGTCACCAAGTCCGTCAGCACAGCAGGCCGCTAAATCCGCGCTGCTCCCGGCACATGTAGAGTTGGAGCCGTGTAAGAGAGATGTACTTCAGGAATCACCTGGGGGAGAGAGAAAGAGACGATAATGAGTCATTTGAGTTACTAGACGGAAGAATATGAATCACAGATGAGATTTAAGTGTGGAACTGACTAACTCAGGGCTCGAAATTGCGACCATTTTGGTCGCATATGCGCCCGAAAATTAATCTATGCGACCTCATAATATAATTGGGCGCATTAGTGCGACTGCAGATAATGGTTGTAGTGCGACCTGTTTTGATATTTTGTAAAAACGTGCTGAATCGCTCTTATCTGCCGTTATATTGGTTCATATTAGCTGTCAATCACTCACGGTATTCCGCTGTCAGATGACAGGGAAGGAGCTTTTATGACCACGGGAAATGCAAACGGCTGAAGAGTAAAAACTTAAAGCACACAGGTTTGCAAACCCCACCTAAAGTTGAGGCGCAGATGAGAGCGATCATGACACGTCACGTGGTGAATAATGATCCGCCAGCTGAGATCAATTGAGTACGCGCTTCTTAGAGAAGGCGCCCGAATCTCCATGCGTTGCATTCACTGCGTGTTCAGCGCAAATGTCCGCTAAAAGTCTAATCTAATACTGTATATATCATCGACAAAGAAGCTCGCCTTTCCTAAGTTTACACTGAAACTGCGGCTAATAACAAAGACCGGTATTGCACCGATGGTTAGCGCAAGAATCTTGCGCTGCCTGCTCATAAATTGGGTCGGCTGACTCGCCAGCTTTTCCACTAACACAGAAAAATGAAGATCATCTCAGACTGAACCTTTAAATAGACACAAACTGAAACCAAAACTTTTAAAGAGGGATAGAAGTGAGACTTTACTTACTTTCTTTTGTCAATTCTTTTTTGAGGTGTATATTATTTTTTTATTTATTTTCTGATGACTGCTTTGCAGCTTTCATCAATTGAATGATTTATTATAATCTTTTGTTTGTTTTGTAGCAGAAATATTATTTATTAAATTGACATGCATATATAAACAGCAGTGCAAAATAAATATTTCTTACTGCAATGCTTCATTTTTGTTTGATGTAAACTAACAGACTTTTTATAGCAGATAACTTGCATTCATGCACATTTAAGGCAGTATCATAATGAGAAATGGAATTCATTGTTACTATTATTGTTATTTTCATCATCATTAATATTCTATGGCCTAATTATTAGACATTCATTTTGGAATTATTGCACACAAATATCACTGTCTTCGCAGCATTAGTTAGATAGTTGTTTCTAGTTTTTGTCAGTCCTATTAATGTTGTTTTAAAATACAATAAATCCCTTAAAAAACAATTAGTAGCTGTGCTCATTAATTTTTGGTGGGTGCTCCTAAATTTTTTCTGGTGCTCCTAAAATTTTTTTGGTGCTCCTAAATATTTGAAGTTGGGAGCACCGGTGCTACCAAGTAAAAAAGTTAATTTCGAGCCCTGCTAACTGGTTGAAAATTAACAGCACAGCCAATCTAACAAGTTTTGCTTTGGTGGTGGCAGACATGCAGCTAAAGGGGTTCAGTTTCTATCAGTTTAAACAACATTAGTCAGAGCTCTGGAGTAAATGCGTCTTTCCCAGCCAGTGCAACTAAATTTTAAAAGTGGTTTTGGAGCCAATTTAGATTCGCAGAACTGAAAAATGATGACATACCATTGCCTATGAGATACATCACTGATCACACCGAAAGCAAACAGTGCTGCTTGTTTGAACTGAGCACTGCGCTGACCATTTATCATCTTGTTTTAAAAGGACAGCACAACGCGAGCAACTATTGGACGTGAACACCAATCAGCGCTGTTTGAGTTTGTTAAAGAGCCTTATGATACCACAAATTAACCTGCTTTTACAGCCAAATGAAACAGTGCTGCCATTCTTTATAAATTAGTAATGCAATACAATGGTGTTTTTGTCAACAAGGCATTGGATGTGCATATTATCCATACTAAATAAACTATGACATCAGTTTAATGAATAAACAAAAAACAAAATTTAGGCTTCCTTTTACTATGATATAGAGGTTGTTATATTTGTATGGTAGGAGATAGTTATTGAAAAAGTTTAGCATCTTGATCCTACCCCATGCTCCTGCTGCTCTCAACTAATTACTGTTAAATGTGAATTTTCTACCAAGAAGCAATTCCATGCAAATGTCAGCCTTGCCATGAAAAAAATAAAATAAAAGAAGTTTACAAAAAATAGCAAAACCCTTTCTAATTTTTTGTGAAGGCTTGTATTTTACAATACTGTAAAAATACTCAAATGTCTCTGGTAAACCAAATATAATAGTTTGTAAACATTGACAAAGTCACACAAACAGCTATTTCACATTAGTCACATCCATAACAAAGCTTTTTGCTCATAAATGCAAAAATGTCAAATAAAACATAGGCAATCATTTGTGTTCTATAAAGAGACAAGCCCTATCAATTTGATTAGCATTGTTTCTTTTGAGTTGTGCAGCTTAATTCAGATCATTTCTATAAAGTATGTTGCATACTGTAAACTCGGTACAAACTAATGTTTATTTTCCTCATTTAAAATCTAAAAAATGTTTACAGATTGACATTTTTCTGATCCCACAACTCTGTGGCTAGTTGTTTGGAAAATATAAACAGATATTTCAATATCATGTTAACATAAAAAGCGTATGTCAATTAATGTTTTGAGGTTTTACTGCAAATGTCACATCTATAACTCTGGAATTGCTCCAAGGCAGTTTGAGTGCTGGTTTCGAGCTTGGTTCCAAATTGATTTTTTTGTGTTTCAACACAAAAAGCACCAGCTCTAAACCAGGAAAAGTGATTCTCAAGTAGCACCAAAACATTGCAAGGCTAGAAGTAAGAATCGGCTCCGATCTGAACTATTCTCTATATTTGAAATAACAGCAGAACATGTAATTACCACTTATAATTAGGGGTGTCCAGATCAAATCACATGACCGGAAATCCGACCTGACGACGCAGTTTCAGACTTGATCAGATTCTCGATCACAAATCTATAGTAATGCGCTGACATAGAGTTAGACCTCTTTCTTGACTTCACACAGAAAAAGCAACGTGACCTCACTTTGTTGAAGAGACGCTATTGGTTAAATGCAAGCAAACTAGATCACTGAAGCAGCTTGAAGTGGAAAGCACGAGTATGTCTGCAGTCTGGATGCATTATAAAGTTGATGAGGACAAAATTGCCATAGCAAATTGTGAGATATGCAATCTTGATACTGCAAGAGGAGGAAAGAAAAAGGCTACATTTAACACAACAAACAAACAGATGTTGAATATTAAAATAAGGGAAATTGAATAAAATAAGGAACATCCTGGATCTGTTTCTTCACCCTTTTTTATTGTTTTTTATGCATTATAGAAGAATCTTATCGGATTCAGTAGATACTCAAAATTAAGACAAGTGCAAAAAAAATAAATAAATAAAACTGATCAGGACATCCCTACTTCTAATCTGTCTATTTAATTAACTACTAAACACAGAACTTCAATTTATTCCCACAAATCACAGCAATGAACAAACACATTTGCAGTTTTATTTTGATTAATCGCCTAGCCCTAGGAATCCCTAGCACTAGTGATATTCTCAAACGTCAATCTAAAGCCCTCATAGTCATTTAATTTAATGCAAATATAAGCGAGGCTGTGTAGAGTTAACATTCATTTATGTTTACCTGGGATTGTCTGGGATATAAATAAGGGTCTAAGCCGAAGGAAAATAATGAATGAATGTCTGGGATGGAAAACACACCTGAATATGCTTTCCAGAAAACCAAAAACCCTCACTGTCTGTTAATTAAAAGGTATTCCCACAAAAATACTTGGAGGGATCAGAAGGTTTTTGTTTTTGAACAGTGTTGACAATTTGAGGAGACTTGAGCAACAGCAAATTTGCACAAACTTGTGCAGAATTAAGACGGAGCTCAGCTCACTGCTTGATACAGCTAAAAATTGCATGAAGAAGCATTAATGCCTGGTAAATAAATTCATCAACCTCCAGCAAATATCCCTTCAGAAACTTTAACAACAACTTATATTAAACCATGCAGAGCTAAACATTCCTGGCTTGACTGCTCAAAATATGCCTTTAAAAAGATTTCAGTTTGTCTTATCACTGAAATGGATAAAAAAATAAATAAATCTTTCTGGCTTCCAAAAGAAATGTGCCAAGATCATTGCTGCTAAGACATCAGTAAACCAAAGATTGGAAAGAAGAAAGCTGACTTATACTTCCACAGAAACTTTATTCATACTTCCTTGTTTAGCCATTACAGACCCGTTGTTTCACCACAAAATCGTCGCCCTGCTTCTCACCTATGACTAAACAAACGCTGATGCAACATTCTTGTTGACTTGCGGTTCAACTTAAGCCACTGCATTAGGGAATAAAGCAGCGCATTCAAGTCACACTGCATTTGGTCCATTCGTCAGTCTAAAAGGTAAAGAGGGAAAATGTGTTTTCCAGAAAACACTTTCATTAACAGTAAGGATAAGTTGGCTTGAAATTTTATTTGAGCTTGCTACATGCAAAAAAGATCTATAAAAGTCTATTTTACTGCAGCAAAACTTGATGATGATGATTCAATGCATGATTTCTTAATCGTGGATTAAGAAATTCATGTTGAGTCTAGTTGACCTGTCCACACCCTTAATGGCCCATTTCTTACACGCATAAACACTCGTTATGCACAGTCTCACTGGACAAAATGTTATTTTGCTTCATGTAAAAAAATGCAGGGTTCCCCACAATTCCTTCAAGTTGTCCCAACACAAATCAATTACGTTAATCATTTTTTAAAAATAAGTGGATTGAACACAAAACAATTAAGGTGTCTCAAAAGAAACCTCGAGAACCGTGTTGATTTAGCTTATTGAAAAGTAGTAGTCTGAACAAGCAGGAAAAGTCAGTTGAGTGCACGCTATTAAAAATGCAGGGTTCCACACAATTCCTTCAAGTTTTCCCAACATAAATCAATTAAGCTAATGTAATTGTTTTTACAAATTTGAATGGATTGAACATAAAACAATGAAGTTGTCCCAAAAAACTCTAAAGAATAGTGTTGATTCAGCTCATTTTAAATAAGTAGTTTAAACAAGCAGCAAAAATAATAGTGTGTAAACAAGAAGGGCAACTGAAATTATGCTCCATGATCATATAAGCGACTCGTCTTACATTCACCATCCCATTCTTTGCAACACAACTAAAAGTGCTAGCATTTGTTTTCAGCTTTTATTCTATTATTCGACATGGCATGGCTGTGTTGGTTCAAATGACATGTCCCCGTTTACGTGCTTTCTGAAAGACTCACAATGTCAGCATCACCATAACAATGGCAGGAGAATGCAGTCAGCTGTGTTAAACTGCACTTCACTGAAATCCAGAGGCTGACGCACTAGTACCTGTTCTACCACAAGTTTACCATCAGGAAATAAAATCTTTACATTCTTTTACAAACATAAAATGATGCAAAAAAGCATAAACATTCATGCAAAAAAACAAAAACAAAACAATCAGCATTTAAACTGGCATCATTCATTAAACCCCATTTTCTATTTCAGATTTGACTAAACAAAAAAAAAAAATCCAAATGACAGAATTCAGGCTACATAAAGCCTGTAATTGTATTACAAGTTCAGTAAGACTAATTCAGCTTCACTGTCAAGTAAACAGCTTACAGCAGTTTTGATCACCACACATTGGTAAACAATATTCGAGAACACACAAATATTACAGCAAATGTTTGACAGCTTGTCCAAATCATATCAAATCACTACACAAGCATAAACCAATTCTGACTATACTTGTTCCAAGAACTCTCACATTATTTCACAAACATTAAAACAAGTTCCAACATCCGCAAAAACCTTTAAAACTTACATTATTGGTAAAAGCCAAAAAAAAGGAAACCATTAAAATGTTGAACTAAATATCTGTTTAAAAGTTGATTTATGCTGACTTAACCTACAATGTTATTATCAGGTCAAAGACAAGAAAATAAAGCACAATACTCACTTGAGCTCGGAGCATGTGTCTAACCCAGATTAAGGTAGGCTAAGAACCAAACAAGAAGTGCGTAACTTTCCTGACAGCAATTTAAAGCTCTGCCAGCCCTGATTTCAAAGTACACCCACTCGTGATGACATCACAACATGGTTAACACTTAACAGGGAGCGAAAACCCGACAGGGAGGTGTTTGACGGTAAAAGCGAGCCACTTGGAAAGAACTTGAGACAGGATGCAACTTTTAGATTCTCACAAGCCTGTTTTTTTATGTGAAAACCAGAGGAAACCAAGGCAGCTGTGCATATGCAATCCATTCTTCAGTTCAAAACACAAGCAAAGGCTTTTTTTCCAAAGAAGAGACAAACTTTGTTTCCTGGCAAGCGTTACACCGGGATTGGTAATGGCTGAAACATTGGTCTCATGAGGAAAGAGAATAAAAGCATGATCAATTTAACTAGTTCAGGGGTGAGAAAAACACCAGAAACATTAGCTTTGACAACAGATACAAGTGTCTAATCCATAACCGTTTGTAGAGGCATATCACTTACAAATAATTCATACTTCTAATCCATTTAAAGAGTAAAAAGTCAAACTTAGACGCAAAAAGACAACATATCTTGACAACAGACAGAATAAAGCACCTCCAAATAGTGTTATCCACAATAATAATAAAAAAAAGTTAAAAAGACTGTAGAAGTAGATTTAAATCAAGGGGTATCTTAATAGTATTTCCGCAGATTTTATGAGGACATTTCAGAGCAAATAAAGACAATTTTATGAGGGTAAACACATTGCTAGCATCTCTAAATGTACATTAAGGAGAACACAAGTTGTATTACCAACATGTAAAGGTTTGAAAATACATCTTGAACCAATCTTTGTCGAATTTTAATTTAACAAAAGGTTCAAATAACTTTGCTCCCAAACACAAGCATATGGCAACAACTTTTGTAGTAACCCTAACCATGCATGCATGTATCCCAATGCAAACATCTCAGGGTTATAAAATCGAGATAAAATTACTTGCAAAGGAAAATGACATGAGATCTTGCCCTCAGTAATTAAAAAAAGAACAAATACCTGCCAACTGGAAACGTGGGGAATCAAACTCACATTGAAAAGTAATGTTTTTACCCCACTGACATATATTCTTGCTCGTGTAAAAAAATAAACTTAAATTTAATTCCTCACCAAACAAGACTTCATTTTTTTAATTTTGTATCTCAAGTAGTTGTATCTTGATTTTAAATTGGTTGCATAATTGTACTGAAAAATCATTTTCTGATAGTCAATGCAACATTTATCACCATGATGTTGTAGATTGAAGAATTCCTGTTGGGATTCACATTGAGGAAGAGCAAAATGAAGACTTGGAATTAACACTAAGAACTATCACTTTTTAAACACCTACTTAAACCATGTAAACTAATTATGCCTCTCTCATTAGTAACTTTGAGGCATTTTTGTGATTATATTTATTGATATCATTTGTGATTTTAGGATTAAAACGTTTTAAAATATAATAAATACGTATTTTAAAACCATGTCATTTGATTTTCAAAAACACAAGAATTGACGTCAATAAGCAACAAAGTTGTATGTTCATTGAAAATAATAGCTTGTTGTGCAAGTTTACAAATATCTATTGTCCTCATTTAAAATATTTTATGATACACGTTTTACAAACGTGCTTATGTTGGCAGTCGATTTAATACCATGAGGTTAGAAATTTACACTTGGTATTGTGATTTCCAACTTCTTAAGGATTGAAATTACCTTATTTTTTATGTACATTATTTAAATGGAATAATTTTTCATTATTTTAACTATTTTATTTTATTGTGTCTTTTATTCTGGTTTATGTAAAGTCTTCTGAATTACCATCGTGTATGAAATGTGCTATACAAATAAACTTGCCTTGACTAAATTGAGGAAAACAAATTAAGACTTAACACTTGTTTAAGACCTTCTTAAACCTTGCAAACAAATTACGCTTCTCTCACAAGTAACATTTCCAAGACATTTTTGTGATTATCAATATTGCTATCATTCATATTGGTGATTATTGTATTAAAACGTTCTAAAATAATATATATTAAATACTTATTTTTTAAATCATGTCATTTGATTCTCAAAAAAAAAAAAAAAAAAGAATTGAATTGAAATTGCCCAGTTGAATGTAATTGTTTGCAGTGTAAGTTCCCAAATATCATTCGTCTTCATTTAAAAGCTGAAATAACATACATGATACACCTTTTACAAGGAACGTGCTTGTGTTGTCTAGCAAAATATGAAACCAACCATCACAACGAAAAGACGTCCTGAATGTCCAAATGTTTTTAGAGAAGACGTGTGTTTGGTTTATCCACGTTTGAAGTTATAACAGCTGTACATAATTGTATCTTCTTTTAAAAGTAGGCCTAACTTACGTCTGATAAGACGAAGATAGGTAGTATTATATACATCAAAAGGCTAACGCTAACGTTAGTCATAAAACATTCCCTAACTTACGTGGTTCGCGCAGGTTTGTTAACAGTGGTGGGTAAAAAGTAAAATCTTAAAATGAAGACTCATTCGAAAAGCAAAAAACAACACATACGTTCGCATTATCTTCATTAAAAGTTAACCAAGTAAGTAACACGTTTAACTACCTTTTCCTTTTTAAAAAAGTGTCTTTACATTGTAATGTATTAACGTTAGCTTTGTTTACTCCAAACACTGTTTGGAAAAACAAGTCCAATAAGTTACTATAGCAAAACTAGGCTAAACAACAGCTTTAAAGTAGTCAATGGCTACTGAATGAAATTCTTACCTCAACAGCATCAGCTTGTAATCTTCCGTTTCCTTGGACACACGGTAAATCCACTAAACCTTTCAGCGGACACGACGAAAAGTCCTCCGTGTTTGACTGACGACGAACACTGTCCCCAAAACAAAGCTTAACTCAGGATACCAGCAAAGTAGTGTAGTCAGAAGGACAGGCTGAGGTGTCCTGACGTACTGGACTGTCCTAAAGTCCACGCGCACTCATCTGCTGTACAATAGCGAAACTTTGCGATAGGTTTGCTTGCTCTGTCGCACGTAACGCGACGCTACGGCATCACTAAGACCCGGTTCGTCTGAGCCACCTTTGGACCGGCACGCCAACATACTTAAGGACGCATGCCGGAAAGCTGCAAACGGCGAAATCAAGTAAACAAACAAGATATAAAAAAAATACACCTCTATCCAATGGACTGTAGTGGAGAGGTAGTCTACGGACTGCTTCTCAGGAAATACGTCACATATGTACGCAATGAGAAGCGACGTCAGGATGCGTCCACTTGAGCGCGTCACGCGGTATTTTTTGATTTCCTTGCGCCATCTACTGGATACGCCTGTGTGGCTCATATAAAACACACGCGTTTTGCTGGATATTTGATGTCAATATTTAATATGCCAGTAGGCTATTAGATTTAATAAAGCTTTATTCAGTTTATTCAAAGCTAACTTTGAAATGAACATGAAAATGATGCACCTAGATATAGGGGAGAGCGGGGCACAAAGGAACACTTTTTGGTTTTGGCCAAATAATGATCAAAGTATTGTGGTTAGACAAACCATATTTTTTACCAACAACACACCATCCTCTCCTACAAATAAGCACTGGAATTATTCACTGGAACTATGGTTTCTGTGCAGTATTGGCAAAAGTGCCAGGAGTAAAAATGTTACCATTTACACCCCACCTGCAGGTTGTAACACTTAAAAGGCAGATTTCACACAATTAATTTTAATTCATTTTACGTTAAATAGTAGTTATATTTCCTCAGTAATTGTCTAATGTTTTTATTCTACACAGCGCAGTATGTTTATTTATTTATTTATTTATTATTTATTTATTCGATAAACACATTTGGATTTATTTGGATTATTATCCATATATCCATAATATTTTCAATTAACATACATACATACATACATACATACATACATACAAATATATATATATATATATATATATATATATATATACACACACACACACACACACAACTAACTTCACTTTGTCATGTTTTCCTCAAAACTGGCTAGCAGTCACTGTGTTTTTTTTACATCTTTCAAAATGGTTTCATCTTTTAGCCTAGAAGACAATGATCACGACGATATAAGATTTTACGTTCATACTTTCACAGATTTTTAAAAATAAATAAAATTAAAATAAATTTAAATAAACTTATTTTTAAAATAAATTTAAAATAAAATAGAAAAGCTTTTTCAATAATTGGCAGGAAGATGTCTGCTGACACAGTGGTGAAAACCTTGCAAGCATGCCATGGTTAACCCTGAGCAAATACTTTAAAACTCTTTGTTACATTTACCCTGCATTACTTTGTGCCCCACACTCCCTATAGTTTGTGTGCTATGCCTATGCATTTTTTTAATTAATAACAAGAACCAGCATGTACAGTTTTCTTATACAACAAAATCATTTTACATTTCTTAACAAGACAGAATAAATGTAAAAAAAAAAAGAAATACAATTTTAAAAAGCACAGAGAGAAGAGGGTACATAATTATCAAATTACATACAAGTATATTACACACATTTTTCCCAATTTTAGTTATTTTTACTACAGGAAATGCATATATACAAACATTTTATGTAAACAAGTAAAAAGAGAAGCATATATCAACTGTTTTAATTTTCTATTTTTAGACTTAGAAATCACTTTTATATACACATTTGAATCTCTTTTTCTATTACCATGAAAAGAGGTTTGCTTTGGCCAAACTTTGATTTATGTATGTGAAATTTACATAATAATAAAATTTTATAAAGTTTATAATAAAACCAGCATATTTAAAAGAGCGATCCTTAATATAATAACCCACGATCACATCTTTATAAGTTAGGGTTGCACGGTTTACCAGTACTACCAGTTTCCTGCGGGATCAATAAAGTTTTCTTAATCTAAAAAATACTATCGTGATACTATGGCTCCAGAATACTGACGTTGCCACTGTAGTTTGTAAACAGTAGTATCGTTATTAATGGTTTATCTACAACAGATGTTGCATGTGGAAAAGCCACTAAAACGCTCACACATTTGTAT